TAACAGTACGCCCTGGCTTGTTCCAAGCTCTGCGCTCCCGACATGCGTCGCAGACACCTTTGATCAGGTTGAGTCTGACATTGTCCAGACCTATCTTGCTTGGGATGAGTCTCATCTTAAGCTCTTTCGCATGGAACCAGCGCAAGTGTAACTTCCGCAGCTCGCGTGTTACCACGCTGGGGTCAAAGCTTCGTAAAACTTGCAGACTGAATTGTACGTCGAACCGTGACCAGTCTGGTAGTCGTGGTCGCGCAGCAAGGTTACCCGCTGGTGGTGGAGGAGGTGCCTCTCCACCTTGCTGTCGAACACGTCTGACTCTAACCTGTGGTAGTCGGAGATGGTCATTCGAACTACCAGCTCCACTCGAGGCAGGTTGCCCTGCAGCAGGTTCAGTAGCATGTCTGCCCACAGTAATGTCGTGACTGCTCGCGCCTGCTGTAGGTCCAGCTCTTGGGCCGGGTCTTGGTGCTCTTAGCCGCGTGAGTGGCGATGCGGCTGGCGCCTCGGGTGGTGGTGCTGCTGGCTCAGCAGGAGCTGGCGGTGCAGGTCCTGCTGCTGGTTCGGCAGGAACCGGTGGTACTTGTCCATGATTGTCGGGGGGCTTCCAAGGCTGGGCAAACTTGCATCTGCCAGGCGCTAGTACGTGCCCAGACTTGTTCTCACCGTAGTTCTTCTTGCAGCTCGGACATTCCCAATGGTAGTCGCCCTTATCGCACCACCTGCAACGTCTCGGATTTCTGTCATGCGAGGGAGAACGCACGTTCACATTATCCGCGCATGCGGGACACCCGAGCCCTCCCAAGGGTGGTCTCGTAATCGAGCCATCAGGTAGGGGGGCTCGGATCGCCCACGTCGCATCCCCCTCGCGCCGGTGACCAGCGCGGTGGGCGAACGAGGGTGACCGTGGAAAGGGTCGCGAGTTACCTGGAAGAGATCGCGCGCGATCTGAACAGCCTCGACAAAAAGCGACTGCATCTTTGGAGCATGTTGTGCAGCCATGGACAGCTAGTTCCCTGTTGCATGCCGACGCATGTTGATGATGGCCAGTACATCGCCTTCGTTCAAAAAGGGTGGGTAAAAAGCGATGGTTGGCCATCGTCTCAGTCGGGTTTCGTATCAGTACCCCATGGGAGTCACGTAAACCAGTAGTGCATTGATCCATGTTCACCTTGCATGTGCCCTTGCTTTTGGCCAACGTAGTCCATGGTGGTATCTGATCCACCCAAGTACCCACTGGTTGTTCTCGTAAGTAGAATCGCCGAAGATCGTTCTGAGTATAGCCACCTTCCCACAGAACTTGCTGGCAAATCCTCTTTATGAGGTTCATACCAAGTACGTATCGTAGTTCACCTGCGCGTTGAAATAGGAAGGTAACCCAGTTGTTCTGCAGCTGGGGTGTAGCATGACAATTTGGACACAACAAACGCCCAGATAGTGCATCACTGCATCTGGGCCATCCTTGTTACCAAGGTCAAGAAAGGAACGTTTGTCGAGGTTTCCCTCTGAGGGCAGACCCCGGCTGAATGCTAGCTGAGAGATGCCCCCGCTTCCTCCGCGCAGTTCCAGCACATCCCCCTTGTTGTGACGCCCGTAACGCAAACTGGGGAGCATGGAGAATACATCTGCATAAGATTCAACAAGTTGCCCCGCAAATAGTGTGATGAAAGCACACTCTGCATCGTCACTTTCCGTGTCGGAGTCAAGAGGTACGTCGGTGTAGTACGCACTACGTCCGAGTTCTTTCAGGTCACCTCCGCAGTCGTCGGTGCCTTCTTCGACTATATTGGGTGCCTTGCGTGGTTTGATGCCTGCTTCTTTGTCGGCCTTCTGCTTTTCTATGTGTTGAATTCTGGCATCGGTTGGTAGTGCTGTCTGTTGTTCAGTCTCAGGCGAACTGAGTGTCGGAAATTCGGGAATAGAGGGGAGCACGCGGCCGCGCTCAATCGAAGGGGGAGGGGGGCGATCGCCATCGATGATCGCCACTCGCCTCGAGCGTGGACGTGAGCTCCCGTGTCCGAGGAGAGCTGGTTCAGGCTGCTCCCAGTACAGTCGAGTACGGACGTTGGTAACACCATTTGGTAATGATGCGTTGTAGTTGTACCCGATAGGCTGGTCCTGAATCTTGATGTCTGGTATGATCGTGTTGTCGTCCAGGTTCGTCGTTACCCGTCTGACAACGTGGTCCCACCCAGGGCCATTCTTAGGAGACTGAGCGTAAGTTCGCGCTCCTCTATCCACTCGGGTGTGGATGCCAAGACGTACAGCACTTGTGTGTGTGTTTGTTTGGTGTGTTTTCTCTGCGTATTGTGTAAATCCATCTGATCGATCAACCTTGCAGTCATGATCGCTAGCGTCTTGTTGCGCCATTCGGCCTTCTGAGCTTCTTGCCCCGACCAATCCAGGACATGCTCAGTAGGCTGTGCAGGGCCCCCTGCTGTTTTGCATGTGCATCGCCATGGGTTGGTCGGGATGCGCGCGCAGGTAATTGCCACTTGCAGATATGATCCGCTGGGCAACGTATTAGAACGGTCGTACTTGAGGCCGAAGTGGCAGAACCGCATACGCATGATTTGTAAATCCAGATCTTCAACCGCGTCTCGTATGGGACTTTGCCTCCAGAATATCCTGGTGGCCCCACAGGCACAAGAGTCATGCGTAGAGCCCGAGCTTTGGTCATCAAATTTTGGATGCGCTGATAATGCGGGCCTGCCCGGTTGCCAGGGAGTCTCTCATGCCAATCAGCAGATGTTGCCACCACAGTTGGTAATCACCCAAGAGTAGGGCACCCAAATACTGTGTACCAGCAGAGGTCATGACCTCTGCATGTGTAATGCGGTCACACATGTAGCCACGGGCTCGGAGTTCAGCGCAAGCTGTCCGTATATCTTGTTCAGCGCAAGCTGCCCGTATATCTTCAATAACAAATGCGTGAGAATGATAATGATGCGATAACCCGACTTTTTCTGCAGCGGCCACACAGCCGGGCCCACTGCTGTCCGTGGCAGCCGCACAGCCGGGCTGGCCACTGTCCCTGGCAAGCGCAGCCGGCGCCTGGGAAAAGAATGCAGGTTTCCCCGCGTTTGCTGACAGTACCTGAGCGTCCGGCCTGTCTGAGCAAGCGCGAGTGGCCGTGGCGCGCGCCTGCCCCCGTCACTCGTTTGGCGATGGGGGCGCCCAAATGCCCGTGCCATGCTGCGCTGCAGAGCCGCTGCTCGAAGTAAAAATATCAAGCTTCTCAGCGGCATTATCTCCTTCCGCAGGTGTCCCTGCATGTGTATCGGGCGGCGTCCACTTCGTGCCCTCCTCGTAGATGGCCTGATATATCTTCGCTTGCAAGTTGCGCAAAGCGAAGTCCTTGTCGGCCGAGGTCGGATTGCCCCCGAAGCGCGTATTTCTGCGATGCCAAGTATTCAAGATGTTATTCGCCAAAGACTGGATCGTGAACGTGAACGTCTCCTCGTTGATGGACGAACTGATGCCCTTGGTATCCTGTGACATCATATATGAACGAGCGTCACTATAGCAGGTGTCCTGGTTGGTGGGGTACTTGGTTCCCTGTCGGAACCCCAGAGCCTCGCAATCGTTCAAGGGGATGGTGCCTCCGAAATCGGGCGGTCACAGAAGCTTGAACGAGGCAACCTGATCCACATACGGGCCAGTGATGCTGAGAAGCAACGTACGGGTTTCCTGTCCTGCTTCCTGCCCCCTGAGAAGGATCCTGAACTCCTGCGGCCAAGGCAGGTGCAGCAACAGCTTCCCCTCCTGGATGGGAAATGCACTTCGCAGCCTGAACTTGTCGAGAAATACGCAGGGGGACTGCTCGTCGATGGGGGTGACGGACACCCTTTGCGCGCAGCTCTGCTTTCTGACCAGGTCTGTTCTGGCCTTGGCGGAGCCGTCCCATACAGTTTCGGTGGCTGCCATGCACTCGGTCCAGGCCAGCCTGTCGAGGGTACTTCCTCTTTGTCGTAGGTATTGTTCCCAATGCTTTGGGAGGTTCACTCCCGATTGAACTGAGCCCGTGGGAGTGTGGAGAAGAAACTGGGCTGCAGGGCTGGTGGTGGGGACAGTGAATCGACGGGTGATGGCGTCCGCTGCTGCGGCCGCTGATGACTCCATTATTGCCTGCCCGCTCAAGGGGGGAGATCGTCCGGCCAGTCACCGTCACCCTCGCGCACGGGCCTGGTCCGATCCATTGCGTCCTGAGAGGAGGCTCTGCTGGATGCATTGTTCCGTCCCTCCCACGGGTGCAGTGAGGCGGACGGCCACCCGAGTGAGCCAGGGGGCGCGTCTGTTGGGCTGGTGGGAATACTTTTTTGATCTGCGGCCCAAAGGACGGCTCCAGAGGGCGGGTCAATCAAATCGTCTGGGGCACAGAGCGAGATAATTTGCGAATCCTAGCTAGTGGGAGTACTTGTTTTGATTCGCGGCCCGCAAGGAGAAGTTCAGAGGGTGGTATGACCGAGGCTGAGGCACAGCGACAGATAATTGGCGCGAGACCGCGCAAAGTGCACCTGCAAACAAGCTGGTGGGAATACGCGAAGCGTCAAGTATTGTGGATAAGTGTCGGACGGCAACCGTTGTCGTCGCAGCTGGGGTTCAACTGTTGGAATTTGGAACGAAACCCGCGCTCGAGCGGGAGCCCCGGCACAGAAATCCATTCTGCGTTCAGTTTGAAATCGTGTAGGCTTTGGTAATGTTGATGTTCTGCCCCCATGTATGATTGCAATTGTGAACTGTGCTGTCGGTGCCAGGTTCGGAGAATGGCCCGCAAGGGACAGGTCGGGACCGCTCAGCACATAGCACGTCGATCATCTGCAATCCAACGATTCCGCCCGCTCACACATAAAAATAACGAAGGTTTAAAGAAACGTCCGTCACGGAGATGTGATGGATCTGGCCTTGAGGGTGAGCGCTACGACAAGAAGGGCTAGATCAGCAAGGTGGCAAGGATGATGAGGAGGAAAATGGAGGAAGAAATGAAGGCGGGCGGAAGAGTCCTCTGGCGCAAATGGACATAACTGCTCTATCTCCTTCAACGCCACCAAGGTCTCCTGAGCGCGGAACTGCTTCATGCGCACTGCGCACAGCTTGTCCAGCGCCTGTGCGGTACTGGAGAGACTGAGGGGACGGGTCAAAGACGGCGGCTGAGAAGCTGTCTGGTTTCTACCTGCGTCGGTGCCTGCTCAGATGTGAACACAGGTTCTATTCAATGCCCCCTACAAATAAGCAGTCATGCAAACAACTCGACGCCCATGCTAAACACTGTAGCTGCTGAAACGGATTAAAGCATCAGCTCATATTCAAGTCTGTTAACATACACATCCAAACAAGCGCCGTCCGTAAATGTTGCATATGACTGTGGTCACGACTGTAGTCAAATATTGCTGGCTGGGGGCAAGGCCCAGCCTACGCAACACCTGCCTCTTCAACACGGAGACCCCGAGGGCTGTGAAAACGGGACTGTGTCGCGGCACCAGCAAGGGGGATGCAAATGAGGAAGCGAAGCTCCCTAAATACCAGTCATCTGGGCATCTATGTGGTTTGCGCTATCAGCCCGCCCAGGGAAACACTTCGGAGAAGGGTCGATCCCCCCCCCCTTACATTACATCGAGCCGAAGTTCACTCCGTCCTCTCGTCTGATGGAGGTGGCTGGCAGTCCAGCGTGGTGGCCACCACTGGCCAATCGCGAACAGGAGGACGGGCCAGGGATAAGAGCTATTGTTTGGCGGAGCCTCGGGTTCTAGGGTACGGGGAGCTCTAGGAAACAGTTGAAGCTCTTCTGATGGACGCCTGCCCTTAATTAGCTCCTGTTAAATGTCCTGGAATCTTGGAGGCCCTTCAAAGACCGTGGGAGGCCGGGGGGGGCATGTGTAAAGCCCTTGTTGGGCTCTCGGATCTGCGGATTTTGTAGTGCCTCTTGGGAACCCGCGAGGCCCTGTTGCAATATTGTTCGCCGGCCCGACGGGCCAAAGGCGTGCTGAATTTTCTGCTTTGGTAAGAGTTCCAACGCTACTCTAACTCGCGCGCGCGGGGCCGCCCCTAGAGGGCCCCAGACGAAAAGTGTCCTTGGAGGTGCCAAGAAACCCTGGGTCAGAGATGTTCTTCTTTTCTGGGCGTGCCAGGGCCCGGACCGACAGGATGCCACGATGGCTCAATTGGGCTCCAAGGAGGATCTTGGCATTTGCATCTGTTCGGCCTTCCGACGGCCTGAGACGGCCCAAGAGCCCCCAAAGATCGCCCCAAGATCGCCCAGGAGGCCTCCAAGATGGCCCCAGAACGGCCCAAGAGGCCCCCAAGACGGCCCCAAGAGGGCCCAAGAGGCTTCTAACACGCCCAAGAAAGCCTCCAAGACAGCCCTGGAGCCTTCCAAGAGGGCCCCAAGTCAACAAAGAGAGGCTCCCAAAACGACTTCCGACGGCGTCAGATGGGCCAGGAGCCCACCAAGACGGCCGAAGATGGCCCTGAGATGGCCCAAGACGGCCCAAGAGGCCTCCAAGTGGGCCTCAAGGCAGGCCCGAAGAGGCCAAAATCATTGATGCTCCTTAGGTCCGAAGAGACGCCCGACGGCGGAACCGTCGGGCGGATGGGGCCCCACGGGCGCGGACGCCCTCCGCCGCTTGGTTCGGTCCAGCGACGGACGCCCCGGAGAAGAGGCGGGCGCGGGGCGGCTCGCCTCTTCCAGCAGCTCTCCGTGGCCTTTTGCAGGGCCACGGCGCGGGCTGTGCTGCGTAGGCACACAGAGCCCCCCGACTATAGGGGCGCGCTGTCCGCTGCTCTCAGCCTGCTTGCGGCTCCTGGCGACGACGACGCCTAGCCTTCCTCGTCCCCCAACTCCGTTTTTCCGCCTCCCTCTTCTGCCGCCCCCTCCCTCCCTCGTCTTCCCAGAGGCTCGGAGTCGTGATGCTTTGCGGCGCGGTGCCCTGTCCGAGGTGCCCTGGCAGGATAGCGCCCCCCGCCAGGGTCCTGCAACAAGTCCCCCTCCGATGGGCGCCGCGCCCGCGCTGGAATTTTTGTCAGCTGCCCCTCCTGCCCGGCCATATTTTTTTTTTTGTTCGGTGTGTGTGTGTGTGTGCCTCCCTCCCTTTCCTCCCCCCTTCCTTCTTTTCTCCCGCCCCTTGCCTCCCCAAGCGGGCGCGCGCGCTTAACGATGGGGGTCGATGGCTCAGGTCCCACGGCCGCGCGCCCGCTTCCTCCGCCTTCCGGTTCCTCTCCCCCCTTACCCTTTCCCCCCCTCGGGGGTATTCCCCCTAGTCGCCAGGCGTCCTTGCCCGCGCATGGTCTTTCAACCCCTCCTTGCCCCTGGCATTTGGCCGGGGCGGCGGGGCCGGACAGGTGGTGTACAGCTGTTTCTTTAGGATTTTGAAGGATTTGGGCATTTGCTTCTTTTCGGCCTACCGATGGCCCGAGCCGACCCCGAGAGCCCCCAAAGATCGCCCAAGAGGCCTACGGCCCAAGAGGCCCCCTAGACGGCCCCAAGACGGCCCCAAGAGGGCCCAAGCGGTCTCCAAGACGCCCAAGATGGCCTCCAAGATGGCCCTGGACCACCTCAAGAGGGCCCCAAGTCGGCCCAGAGAGGCCCCCACCCCAAGACGGCTTCCGACGGGTTTTTTTTCTCAAGGACCAAAGCGCATTGCGCACAGCGCAAACCTTCCGACGGCGTCAGACGGGCCAGGAGCCCACAAAGACGGCCAAAGAGGCCCCCGAGAAGCCCCCAAAGGCCCCCAAGAGGCCCAACGAGGCCCCCAAAATGCCTCCAAGAGGCTCCCGGGAAGCTCCCAGGAGGCCCCAAGAGTGTCCCCACAGGCTCCCAAGATGCCCTCCTCCTTCTCCTCCTCCGCCTCCTCCGCCTCCTCCTCCTCCTCCTCCTCGTCCTCCTCCTCCTCGTCCGCATCCTCCTCCGCCTCCTCCAGATCTTCCCCGCCATCCTGCCCCAAATGTTCCCCGAAGGGTTTCCACAACAGTTGGGGGAACACGTGATCCGACAGCTTAGCGGAGCTCTTGCCACAACGCTCGGCCACATGGGCGATTCTAGAAGTCAGGGGGCGGCGCTGATTCGCCGTAGGCGTCTTCGATAAAGCCAACGCCTCAATATGCGCTGATGATTCCTGTCCGCCCCCGCATGCTGTTCCCAGATGCGCCAAGGCAGCGCCGAGACGCACCGACGCGACTCTGACATTTCCCATTATGATAGGGAGGGGGCCAGCGGCAGGGGGCGAAGCCCTTACGGATAATCGAAATCGGTCCAAGATGGCCTAAAGCCTGGCTCATTTGGCACCAGGAGAGGCCGAGATAGCTCGAGGTGGCCACTGAGCCTCCCAAGGATGCCCCGAGAGGCCAAACGTATTGAAAAAAAAAACATTCCGCTTTCGACTTGCCGCTGAGGGTTCAAGATTGCCTCGGGATGGCACGCCCCAGGAGGGGCCCTGAAGGGCCACAGGACAACAAGAGGGATCCAAATGCAACCAACAGCACCAGGTTTCCAAAAGGGTTTTGAGTGGCGCCAATTGACGCCACCCCTTCTTTTGATTGATGGCCTTCAGGATGGCCACAGAAGCTCCTCAAACAAGATCCCGAAGAGAACCCCAGACATGGGTCCAAGTGGCCTGCACGAGGCTCCCCAAATGTGGTAGGTTGGGCACTTGGAGGGGCTGTTCGGCCTGATCCCACCTTCTGTTTTGACTGGGGAGACCCCCCGGCCCAGGACCTCCTCTGGGCCAACCCCTTCGCGATTAATCAAACATGTTACAATCCGTATAAAAGACCCCCCGTCTTACATCCTCTGTCATCGCGTCTCGGAGCTGGTGCGCCTATTGCACATATCACCCCTCCCGCGCCTTGACCAACCACGTGCCACCCTTCTCGCGGCATAGCGGCACGACGCGCTCGAGCACGAGGTCGGCCTTGGGAGGCCAAGTCTCCCGCTGCCCTAAACTTCGAAAACTAGTTCTTGATTGCTTCGGATCTGTAGCCCGGAGTGAACAAGAAATCGTCAGACCTGCGACCCCTGGGCGCCTATGTATGTCAAACAATGTATGTCTAGGCTGCACTGCTAGGGCAAATCATCCTTGCTAGCGTAGACAGATATTCCACTGCGGACGTGTAGGCTTGTCTGTGTAAGCTACGCAGAGTACGCTATGTGGTGCAGGATATGCTGTGAAAACTATGAAGTGAAACTAATATTTGACCGTCTTGAAGCTGTCCTCTCCACTGCTCGTGCAAACATCCCACCCTCCCACCCGCAACTTGGTCGCAAAACCTCTTAAGACAAGACCGTGACGGTACGTACCACATGACACTTGGCCACGACACCGACGCCGACGACGACAGCGACAACGATGACGACGGCGCCGCCGACACCGACTACGACGACACCGGGGACGTCTCCAACGACTTCGACGACGACAACGACGACACCGACGACGACGACGACGACGTCAACGACGTCAACGACGACGACGACGACGACGGCGACTACGACGACACCGACGACGTCTCCGACGACTTCGACGACGACAGCGACGCCGACGCCGACGACGACGAAGACGACGACGACGTCGCCAACGAAGACGACGACGAGGGAGGAGGAAGGACGACGACGGCGACAACGACGACAACGACGACAACGACGACAACGACGAGGGAGGAGGGAGGAAGGCGACGACGCGAACGACGAAGAAGGAGGAAGGACTGCGGCGCCGACGACGACAACGACGAGGGAGGAGGGAAGACGACGACGACGACAACGGCGACGACGACGACGGCGACGAAATAGAGGGACGGCGACGAGACGCCGACGACGGACGACGACGGACGACGAAGGAGGAGGAGGAAGGACGACCACGGCAACAACGACGACGGAAACGACCACGACGCCAAAGAGGACGACGACGACGAACACGAGGAAAGACAAAGGACGACGTAGGCGACGACGACGACGCGGAAGGAGGGAGGACGGCGACGACGACGACGACGACGCAAGAGCGCGCGCGCACGCTTTTGTTGAAAATCCGTGTTGTGACACCTTGTGTGTTTGTAAGTTGTTTGGACACACGATTTTGAAATCTTTCCGACACCGATGGGTTTTGAAGGTTTTCGGCATACACTTCGTCCCACTTGTTGCAGAGGATTCTCGCGACGGCACACGCGCAAGGGCGTTCGACAGATGTCGACATGCGCGCGCGAAGCCCGTTTAATAGCATTTCATGAAAGTCTTGAAGAGCCTGGGGTTTCAAGATTTCGCAAAAATTCGCGCGGACGTTTTTTTAGCAAATCCGTGTTGCGAAACCCTGTGTTGTTGTATGTGTGTTGGAAACTCGATTGCGAAATCCTTCCGGCACCGAAGGTTTTTGAAGGATTTCGGCATGCGCGCGCGACGACGCGCGCGTGCGCACGTCGTCCCATTTTTGTTGCAAGGGATTCGTGGAAAAGTGTTATGTTCGAACAAAAAATGTCACCGCAGGATGCTTTTGTTTTGTTTTGTTTTTTTGTGCATTTCACAAAAAAAAAAACGGACCCTCTGGGGGGGGGAACCCGGCCCCCCTGGGATAGTGTAGATTCAAATTTAGGATGGACATGTGGTCAGAATCATAAATGATTTACATACCCGAAAGGGGGAGTGATCACGCCGGGGGGGGAGATCCTATTTTGCTTTTAGAAAGGAGAATAGAGGTGGTGTGACATATGTTACGTAGGCTGGGGGGCACAAGCTATGCTTGCTACGAGGTGCAAGCTATGTAGTGCAAACTCTGGGGTAGACGTTTTGTGGTGCAAGCTACGCGGCCGCCTACCTCACGAGGCGCTCACAAGGTGCCCACGTGCGGCCACGGGTGGGCACCAGGCGAAACCTGGGCTGCCCCATCCAATTCCTCGGGAAGAGATGTAAGAACCTCTGCGTGGATCGCTGGATTGAAGAACTTCAAAGTTCCTCAGGAAGTGATGCCATCGCTGGATTGCAAAATTTCCGCCCGCAGTCTTCGGGCGACGAGGCTGCGCGAAGCTTGGCCGTGCGCTCGCGGCCGCCCAGCCAGCGCCTTCGCAGAATAGGAATCCCACGCCACAGGGCCCTGGACTGTACGGGAATGACTGTATATATACAGAGCGACACGAGGTACACATAAGGGGGACCCGTGCTAGAAGAGAGCACGTTCCCTTTCCTTTTCGGAGGCTTGGGCGCGTCCGTCACTGGCGCGCCATGACAGCTCAAGGGCCCTTGTGGGCCGATATAGCGGCGCACAAGGGAGGATAGAGAGAGGCGCAGGAGGAGGAGGAGGAGGAGGAGTAGGAGGAGGAGGAGGAGGAGGAGGAGGATAGGCTGACAGGGGCTCAGCAACCACAGCCCCTAACTTTCTTGTTGCCGAAACGCCGCGTCGCCTCAGAAGATACAACTCTTCTCTCAATCGATGCCGTCGCCGTTCCCACGTGCTACCAGAGCCTCGGTGGCGTGCAGTTGGTGCAATTCCACGAACACGCAAGAGTTGAGAGCATGTCTCAGAGAGCTCCTTAAAAGGATTGTTCGACCCAGGGCCCATGATGAGGTCTTCCGGCCTCGCTGTGTCCGTAGCCTGCCCTATCTGATCAATGAAACTCTGTGGCTCAATTCCGCGTGGGTCGCACGTCTGGCCAGCGCGATCCAGGAAACGATCTGCCGAACTGAACTCCCTGGTCCACTGAGGAACCCATCTCTCGCCCATGGGGGCCAGCTTGACGTCGGTCATCGGGAAGTCGGAGTCTTCGATCGCCTCGTCTATGTACGCGTGCACATTCGGAAAAGCTTTCGGGGTGGCCTTTGCCGCGAGGTACATCCTGACCGTGCGATTCCAGACCCTGTACCATCCAGAGACTTGCTCCTTCGCCTGTAGCTTGTCCCAGATCTCCCTCATCATCGTAGTGTGGACCCAGAGCGCATCGACGTAGACGCTGCCTTCGGTCTGGCACTACTGCTTGTGGACATGTATATTAGAATAGCACGCACGACGGTTGCGATCCACCTGCAGCTCAAAGATGCAAGAGCACATGTTCATCTCAGGGCTGCCGTCAGACGACGCGTGCACCGCGTAGTGGGCGAAAGGGGTGCGGCGAGTTGTCCTTCCGCAGATCATGCCGTAGACGTTCTTCACAGCTCGAATGTCCTGGCTTCAACTCGAACACGTCCGTCTTCTCCAGATAGATGCCAGTGCTGGCAACTTGGCACCGTGGAAGGCAGTCTCGACCTGTGCCCCCCCCTCTTGTTGAAGTCCTCGTCGCGCTGCATCTCCCTAGCGCATCTCGGCGCCATATCCATCGCGCACCACTGTCCGGTTGGATGCGCAAGTGGCCCCTGGACATGAGGACCATCGATGGGTTCCTAGAGATGCTCGCGCGTAAGACGGGGCACCTTGGGGGCCAAGGCCCCCCCGCAGTGAGCTTCCAGAACCAACGCGGCCAAACCAATCATAGTGAAGGAGGGCGTCGAGTACGTGGGCGCGTCGACCTGGGCCCGTCTTCCAGCGTTCGCTCATCATGTGGTTGAAGACCCTCTTGTTCCTCCTGGGCAGCTTGTGAGCCTTCCTCCAGTGGGCGCTGAGGCACTTGTCTACAGGCCCAAGAACTATCTCACCCTTCCCTGCTGGACGTCCTTCCAGTCAAGGAGCAGCGGCGCAGTGATCAATAGTCACCGCAACCCTCATGGCCTCGGAGACGGCCCCGCCCACTGGTGGAGGATTCTCGACGAAGCCGTTGACTAATCCCCACTGCGCCGTTCAACTCGCCGAGGTTCTCCAGCTTGCGTGCCTTTTCCTCTCCTCCGCCTGCCTCGCCGAGGATTTTGATATGGTCCAAGATGTCCTCGGTGCCCTTCTCAGCTTCTTTCGCCAGCTCCCGGCTGTCGACCATCAACTGCTTCTTCCCCCGATGAAGGAGCTATGCGTTTTAAGCCGATCTTCGGAAGTTCGTTGCAGCTCATGCCGGGGACAATGGCCAGCGCTGCAGGTGCCCGGCGAAGCAAATCATCAAGTGGCATAGCGACGAGATCCGACACCGGGCGAGGATCGGAGGGGTCGTGGAGCTCGGTGTCCGTGCACACCTGGAAGTACGCATAGAGGGCCTCGTAGTCACCACTCTCGTCTCCTGCCTTCAAGTAGGTCCTGAAAGATTTCGCACTCAAACGTCTTGCACGACTTAATCAGACTCTGGCGATGTCGAGTGGCACTTGCGTCAACAACTTCAACCAAACACGGAAAGTAGGCTGTCTCGGGTACTGATGGCGCACGGACATCATCTCCGATGTGGGATCGTTCAAGGTCGCGTTGGAGCTCGAATCCTGAGCGATCGGCTGAGCACGGCTCTTTAAAACCAGGTAGTAGATCACACCATCGGTAGGCCAGCGCCCGTTCCTTTCGAATACGGATGATTCGTCCTTCGTCGCCTCCGCCTGCTTCACCATGCCTTGCTTCGTCTGCAAGATTCTCTCCTTCTCCACCTTCGCGATGTAGTTCAATGGCTTCTAGCGTGCTGGTAGAAGGTCTGGTGGCGCGATGGAGTCGTCCACGCTGGCCCAGGCATGGTAGTGATCTCCAGCAGGGGACCCCAAGTCCGGAACACCCTCATATACAACCTGACTACGAGAGCGATACTGCGGCCCCTTCACCTCGGGCGGTATCAAGTAGGCGAATCCGAAGTTCTTGTGAGTGGGATCGTTGTCTTGTCGTTAGGAATCGCCACCAGGTCGTTCAGAGGGGTGAGCAGTCCTGCTTCTTCGCCATCCATGCCCCCGGCTTGCCGCGGACCTGGCAGCGCCATTGAAGTACAGGTCCCGCTTGTGAGCAACATTCAGATCGGCCCGATCGACTTGCCCCCTGGGGTGGCGACCACATTCGAGTACCTCGCCTTGGAGCTTCGCCGATGGACCAGGACGTTGACGTTG